GCATGCGTTGCAACAATATTCAATATTATGCTCCTCTTCCAATTAAACAAGATAATGAATAAAATCACAACTAGAGTTAAATGTCTTCCAATAGATTCAAGCAATTAAACAATAATCAAATCCGTAAACAATAAACAAGTCACCAAATCATGTCAAACCCTAAGGTAAACTACTCCTTAATTATGGAGGAAGTCATCAAAAAAAGAGTTAAAGAATAAGAAAGCATCAATCAAACGTTACAATCCAAACTCCCGTATTCAATTGATAGAAAGATGATGAAATCCGTGTCTTGTAGCCTCCAATGCTCTCCCAAAGCTTCAAATGTCAAAAGTCCTTTCTAAAATGCCTTTTGGTGTATTTATACCATGTAGGAGTGGGCCCAGGAAGAATTACCTTTTCCTAGCCGAAACAGCACAAATACTCTAAGAAAATTACGCAGGCACGCCGCACCTCGCGCCTCCCCATGCAGGGCGCTTGTGGGGAAGTTTAGAGAGCAATTTCTGACAGACAGCAGTAAAATGTACAGCCGCGCCACCCCATGCACTGCCCCATGCGCCGCGGCATTGCAAATTTTCCAATGTTTCCATTTTGTCGATTTTTGATATCCAGACTCGACTACCGACCCCCGAATGTGATCCCGATTTAATTTTTTGGACTTTTACTTAGACTTCAAAGCTTCAACTTGTTCGATTTATCTTCTGATTATCTTTTTAACTCGGAATCACTTCTTGCAGGGTATAAAATACCTAATAAGTGCAACTCACTATGATTTAAACTCAAACACAAGTAAAATACAGTAATTAGAGTACAAACTAGGACTAAAACACAAGATTCTAGCCTACCATCAACTATAAGCTAGCTGCTCGGGATGAGACACATAAGGACCCCGACTGCCCGAAGCACTGTGGGATGCCTGAAGAGCTGAGTGAAACGGCCTGGGAGGATGGTCTCCACCAAAAGTACCCCTGCCTCCAGATGTGGCACCACTAAAACCACCGAATTGACAAGGCCTCTTATCAGACACCGACCCCCTCTCCTGACCACAGACCATCTCGATCCTTCTGGCAATGTTTACGGCCCTCTGAAAAGTAATATCATCTCCAGTCTCCTTAGCCATCTGTAGCCTAATAGTGAAAGTGAGCCCATCAATGAATCTCCCAACTCTCTCCCTCTTAGTAGGGAGCAAGATAATGGCATGGCAAGCTAGGTCCACAAATCGAATCTCTTTCTGGGTAACAATCATACTACCCTGCTGAAGATGCTCAAACTACATGCGGTAATCCTCTCTCAGAGTGACATGGATGAACTTCTCTAGAAATAGCTGTGAGAAATGATCCCAGGTAAGTGCAGGTGAACCAGCTGGTCTAGTCAACATATAATCCCTCCATCATGTCTTGGCAGAATCGGTCATCTGAAACACTGCAAAATCGATCCCGTTGGTCTCAACTAAACCCATGTTCCGAAGCACCTCATGGCAGCGATCTAGATAATCTTGTGGGTCCTCAAAAGATACACCACTAAAATGAATAGGAAAGAGCTTGGTGAACTCATCCAACCACAACAGAGCCTCAGTAGACATAACAGGCCTATCATCGGCATTTGCCGGAACAACCGGCAGAACCACCCCAACTGGCGTGGCAGATGGAGTCTGATACTAGGGAGCCACATGCTCCAGGGTGTGAGTAGCGGAAGTCTGTGCTCCTCCCCCAGCCCGAGAGACGGCTGGTGCCACCGGGAATGCATCGGTCTGGGACACACTCTCCATAAGGCCCACCAAACGGACTAGAGTGTCCTGAAGCACTTGAGTGGATATGAACCCCTCTGGGACCCGAGCTGGTCCTACAGGTACTATTTGAGTTGGGACCTCCTCCTCATGAACAATCTGAGGTTCCACCGCGGGTGCTGCTGCTCGAGCTCTAAGATGAGCTCCGCCTCTGCCTCTGCCTCAGCCTCTACCCCTGGTTGTAGCTTCCACTGGGGCTCCGGCTCCTGTCCGGCTGCAGATGTTGCGCGTGTTCTCGCTATCTGTGAGAGAACAAGAATAGAATGGTCCAATCATCAATGATAGAATAAAATCGCACGATAGAGAAGGAAAGAAGTGAAATTATTCCTAAACTCAACAGCCTCTGGAAGATAAGTACAGACGTCTCCGTACCAATCCTCCAGACTCTACTAAGCTTGCTCGTGACTCGTGAGACCTAGCCAACCTAGTGCTTTGATACCAACTTGTCACGACCCGAAATCCCAACCTCGGGGTCGTGATGGCGCCTAACATCCACTTGCTAGGCAAGCCTACGTGAGATAGTTAAATACCCAAATTTTAACAGTTTAAACAACATGATGGTAAATAACAAGGAATAAGAACTCAATCTTATACAATACCATCATCAATCATGTAATCAATCTTCTCCCAAAGATCCAAAGTCACGAGTACACGGAAAACTAGAATTTCTACAAACAGAGTCTGAAATAAATACAACTGCTTCGAAGAAAATGAACAGTAAAAGAGAGAGGAGGAAGGGGACTTCAGGGTCTGCAGACGCCAGTAGATCTACCTCAAGTCTCCGTATGCAATTATCTAAGTTGACGCACCTCATACACCGCTGGGACCAATACCAAAATTTGCACAAGAAGTGTAGAAGTGTAGTATGAGTACAACTGATAATGTACTCCATAAGTGTCGAGCCTAACCTCGACGAGATAGTGACAAGTCTAAGACAGGACATCCACATAAATAAACCTGTACAAATGTGTGTGTGTGTGTGTGTGTTTACGAAGAAGAAACAAAACAAATATTAACGATGTACAACTGGGAGGGGACATGCGAAAGGGGAAGGATACATTAACATCAATGGATCCTTTATTTGAATGATAAATAACTATAAGTGACAGAGACAGATGATTTAAATAAATAAAAATTAATATTTAAAAATTGTATCGAGAATGACTGGAAAGGTGCAAATAAGACCAAATATAATTTGATCACTATGACAAAAATCTTTATAGATAGAGTTAATCATTAATATAAAAAAAATTGGAAGAAGCATTAACCAATAACCATACGTGATTCAACCGGGAAAACGCATGTAGAAGCTATTCTCGATGATCGAGTGGTTCATGATTAACTCTTGGTGAAATGGCAGACTATGATGCAGAGGAGAATACTTGGGAGAGGGGAACAAACCTCAAGGCCTACAAGGGCCTAATCGATGATTATCTTGCAAGCAAGGCGTCGAGGACGTCGCCAACTCAAGCGGGGAGGATGTCATGGGCGGCTGCGAATTCTTCATACTTGAGACTTTTATGTAATGTAATTAGTATAAATGATTTACGGGTGTAAGCAGTTGAATTGAACCAAAATCGGAGGCCAGGTAACCTAAGAGGTCGTTTGGTTGGGAAACAAGTTATCCCAAGATTAATTATTTCGGACTTAGTTATCCCGGAATTGTTATTCTACCCTCCCATGGGGATAAAAATACACTACATTTCTCGGATAAATAATCCCGAGATTATTTATACCACGATTTTATCTCAACAAACGTAGGATAACGTATCTCAAATTTAATCCCGAGATTAATTATCCCTTATCTCTCGTACCAAACGATTGAGCTTTTCACTACGCATGATTTCCAAGTTGGTGATCAGAGGATTATGGACTAGAGGACTCTGTTTAAAGACAGTATTGAGATCACGTTTACAAATTAGACATGTTTATTCATTGGCAGATATCTTTTCAAGCGATTTTCTAACTCGTCATTTTTGCCTTACTGAGAATCTAACTGTCTTAAACATTGGCCACACGTTTCTAAACAAAAAAAGAACACTTCTATGTCAACAAATCTCAGTTTTTCAAGTTATATATGTACTAATTAATTTCTAAAATTGATTTACTAAATTTTCTTTAGCTTTCGAAGGGCGAAGAGTGAAAGAGAGACGAGGATATATTGTTGTTTAAGCTTTGTCACTTGACAAAATATACTATTTATGTAGTATAAGTCGATGCACTCAGCAGCAAAACACTCGAATCATTCCAATATAGACATAAATTTTTGAAAATGGCCACCTTCTGAGTACGGTTATAGCTTCACACTTTCACCTGTTAAATTGCAATTCTTACGAGCATTTTGGGTATTGCTTGCATCATTTTACGGAATAATTTGATATAGAAGATTAAAGGATGTATACGTAGATTAAACCTTCTGCCTTAATTGTATTTTGAGATATATATCATTAAAACATAAACTTAAAGTAAACCAATATTTAAGTAACACTTACGGTTCCTTTTATCCAAGACCATGACATGTATTGTTTGTTTTGGCCCAATAGAACTTACAGACTTATCATTGGGGCTACGTTATCATTGAGTTCAAAAGCGCACATACCATATACACTTATATTATGCCTTGTAAAACTCTTTATTTTTCTCACATTCGTTATGGGATTCACTTAATGTATCATGCACACCCCTTCTTCAAAAGTTTATCAGCCTACAAGCCTGTTGGTCCTTCTCTAATAACCTTGTCGGTCCTCCTCTATTATGGGCGGAGCTAGGTGGGCAGAAGGGAGTTCAGGTGAACCACCTTTGCCGAAAATTACGCTGTGTATGGTCAACTTTTTATGATGTACAGTCGTTGATTTTATAGGAGCAGCATGCACATGGCCCGTTCTATGTTTTATAATTTGGAATAACTGCGGACATGATATAGTGATACACCATGTTATAATGGAGTATAAAAAGGCAATTATTTGTTATTTCACACTATACAGCTTGTAAACAAAGACTATTAAAACGAAAGCATTGATCTTGTGATCAAATTTCAAATACTGTTGTACGTTTTAATACGTGACACTTGAAACTGTTTATGGAGCTGGCTTTTGTGGGGAATACTCTTACACACCTATAGGGCAAAAGTATCTTGTGTTGTCTGCCCCAATCGAACTTGGTGCTTTATGTTTACAAAGCCATGAAATGATTTGCTTGAGTTACTTTTGCATCAATATAAACACATTCATTCCAAGGTCCTTATCAACACGCAAAAACTTAAATATGTGTACATAAATAAATATATACAAGTTTCCAAGCTCACATGTGCTAAGAAAAATAACTGGGATATACAATACTAGGTGGAAGGGAATTTTACTGATGGTAAAAGGGATTTGTCCGTGGCAACAAGGGTAGTGGCACACCTGAAGCAACCATGAAATGGTCATGACAACCAGAATAATTCCTGAATATCCCTCCTGCGGCAGCATCTGATCTGTTATGTTGCATGAATTGGCTATGGTGCAGCTGTAAATTAGGGGGAGTGCTACTGTTAGCATCTTTTGTCTGCAGGGGTAAAAGGCGCTTCATTTTCCGTCGTTTTCGTCGGGACTGCTGGATAGAAACACCCTCATTAGATGAGGCAAGATTCTTTTTGGTGACAGTTTTTTGCCCTTGAGAAATCGGCTCACATTGAGTTCCTCCGCTTCTCCCATCACATTGGAACTTAGCAGCAAAGCCTGGATGTTTTTCTGGGACACTTAAGTTTGCCCTCTCTCTTTCAAGTTCGGCAATACGTGCTCTAAGTTGGTCAGGTGAGTATTCTGATTGAAGGTTGTGCAACACAATGCGGTTAACTGCAGCTCTCAGTGCAGATAGTTCATAAAATATAGCCTTTTCTTGGGCTTGACGAGAATCGTTACCATCAGAACGTATTTGTTTGGCTAGCACTATTGAGCCCTGAACATAGTTCTTCAGGAGCGGAACAGGTGGAAACGAGTCAACGAGTTCAAACTCATAGATGTATTTGATTGCCAGCAGCGATTGCCTTTTCCTGATAAGATTTTCGATAAAGCATGGAATCTTATCAGCTAACCCGAGGATTCTGACCAGATCCATTACCTTGCTGGTATGCTGAACAATCTTCAAGAAACCTATAAGGTCATCTGAATCAAAAGAGGATGACAGTTCAAAAGTAGCTAAAAGGTGCAAAAAGCCTATGGCCTCCCATGATCCAATCAATGTTGCTCGCCACTCAACTGCAAACTCAGTAGCCTCAGTTTTAACCTGAGGTCTTATTTCTGGAGAAACTTCTCTCAGCTGTTCCAACAAATCAGGGAACCTAGTCATAACTGATAAAAACTTTTTGCACTTATCCCTTTTTCTTTTTTTGGTAAGTTCATTTTTTGACTTCTCCCGTTCTGCAGAATAGCACTTCCTCAATGCATCCAAGACAATTTTTGCGGGATCTGATGCGGCGTGGACAACACTCGAAGCACAACCAGATATTAAATGCTGACCCTTGATTCTCCTTTCCGAATTGTTGGAAAGAGGTTCACCATTAGAGTGAGAAATACCAAGTACATGACAAATCTGAATTACATTCGCATGTTGTGCTACAGTGCGACACAAACTCTTCAGCTCATTTTTATCAAAGGCAGAGGCCAAGCTGTAGGCACCTACTAGAAGCAGAAAACCCAAGATAGCCAGATGGTTTTCTCTTTCATCTATCATCTTTGCTTTCCAGTCAGATGCAAGCTTGCTCGCTTCTAACTTAGCCTTTGGTGTAATATCTGGAGAGATTCTAATCAATTGTTCCAATAAAAGGATACAACTTTTCCTGATAATACTACGATTACATTCAATCTTTTCTTTATGAGGTTTTTGAGGATAAAATCCTCCAAGTGCTTCCAGCACAAGCATCCCCGAGTCAGTTGATAGTTTAAGAGCTGTAGAGACTTCAACGCGCAACAACTCGAGCTCTTGACAATGATCATTTAAAAAAGCCTGCAAATTCTTACCTCCCATGCCCACAAGGATGGCAGCGAAAGCATCAGAATGACCTAACTTGCAAGTGGAGGCCGTTTCAGAGGATGAAGTAGAGCTGAGGGCCCTCGTATCAGTGAGAAGAGATGGACAAGTTGATGCTATCTGTTTCACCTGACTCTGCTGTGGCTTTTGAGCCTCAGAATTGACAGATGATGTGGTTGCATCTGCCTTCAGCCTTGTGAGAGATTCTATACACTCTTCAAGCTGAGCAAGTGGGTATTGAGATTGAAGCTTGTAATCCAAAATGGATCCGATAACAGCTCTAATAGAAGCTACACTCTGTTCAATGGCTTCAATCTTTTCTTCGATTGAGCACGTTTCTCTACTACGGACAGTCTCCGAAATCCACATAACATGTTTCACATAATCTTTCAGAATAGGTATTGGTGGGAAACGGTCCACAAGCTCAAAAGCAAAAGCAAATTTAACAGCTTCAAGATTCTGTTGCTTGGCTATGAGATTCTGGATGAAACAAGAAATCTTCTCTGTGAAACCAAGAAGATGACACAAGTCTTTTGACTTGTTGTGCTCAACAACAATAGTTAGCAGGCTCATAAGCTCATCCGCATCAAAGGCAGAAACCAGACTGTAAGAAGCCAATAGGTACATGAAGCCCAAGATCTCTAATTGATTCCCAGTTGTTGCCCTCATTTTAACCTTCCACGCTCTCGCAAGTTCCATTGCTGCTTCCCGCACAATGGGTTGAATCTTCGGTGAGACTCTAATCAACTGCTCTAATAGAAGAATGCAACTCCGCCTAGCAACACTGGCCTCGAACTCTGTTTCTTCCTTCCTCAAGTGGGGAGGATAGAACCCTTCCATTGCATCAAGCACCAGTTGACCAGGGTTCGGAGACAATTGAAGAGCTTTAAAAACTTCATCAGACATAGAATCCAGCTCCCTCTCGCGCTCATTCAGGTATATCTGTAAACTCTTCCCATCCATTGTAACAAAAAATCTTATTTCAGCAGACTTAGTAGTGGTAGCACCAACTCTATCCACTTCTGCATAATCAGTAGGCTCGGACTTCACACGAGCATTACAAACAGTTTCCAGCTGCTTCTCTTTCTTTTCAAGCACTTTAAACCGCCCTTCAATGAGTTCCTCTCTTTGTTCCTTGAATGAAGTTAACTCCTGCTCCTGGAGTTCAAGTTTCTTTTTAGTTGTATCCAAACTCTTGTCCTTGAGCTCGAGTTCCTTCTTCACTGAGGAAAGGTGGTCTTCCATGATTCTAAGTTGCTTCTTCACCGAATCCAAGTTGTTAACCTTACCTCGGAGTTCATTTGCCACTGAATCCAAGGTAGTTTCCTTCTCCCTAAGTTTCTTTCGGATGAAATCCAGGTTATGTTCCTTATGTCTAAGTTCCCTTTTCACATAATCTAACTTAGTTTCCTTCACCCTTAGTTCTTTCTTCACATTGTCCAAACAATTTTCCTTTACCATAAGTTCTTTCCTCGCAGAATCCAAGCCCCTTCCTTTAGTTTCTATTTCCTTCTCTATCGACTGCAAAATCTTTTCTTTACTTTCGAATTCTTCCACTCGTTCGTCGAATTTTCTCTCTTTCAACTCAAGGGCATCTGTTTCTTCACGAATCCTGCTTTGAGTCTTGCTGAATTCCTTTGACTGCTCCTCAAACTCCTCCTTCATCGACAGCAAAATCTTTTCCTTAACTTCAAATTCTACCACTCGTTCCTCGAATTTTCTCTCTTTCAACTCAAGGGCATCTGTTTCTTCACGAATCCAGCTCTGAATCTTATCGAATTCCTTGGAACGCTCCTCAAACTCCTTCTCCTTCATACTAACCTCCTTAAACCTATTCTCTACAAACTCCCTAAGATCCTCAAGCTGCTTGCGCTCAAATTCAATTTCCTCCCAAAAGCGTTCCACCATCTTCTCCTGCTCATTCAACTTTTCCTCTCTCAATTTCACAACCTCATCAAACCCTTTTCTGGCCAAATTCAAATCCCTCCACTTGCATTCAAGATTCCTAATTTCCCCTTCGCGGTATGCACAAAACTCTTCCTTTTTCTTCTCAACTTCCTCTCGTCTCTTCTCAATGGATTCCCTAATCGAATCAAGTTCCTTAGAACTATCCGTTACTGACTCTTGAACTGAAGTCAAGTGCTTCTCTTTGGCTTCGAGTTCGTTGAAGCATTCTTTCAAACAGGTGGTGGATACATTCAAGTCCTTCTCAAAGTCCCTCCATTCCAACATTAACGTCAAAATTGATTTCCTTAAACTATTCTTCTTCTCCTCATTTTGTTGCATCGCTTCCCCTAACTTCTCCATTACAGACATTATAAGTCAAACAAAACCCTACAACTGTGGTCAGAGTAAACAAAAGTGGAAAATTGATTGAGAAAGAAATAGGTCTATACTCGGCAATATATAATAGGGGGAGTGGGCAACGTGCTCCCTTAAAATTCGTTCTACGTATAAACCTTTTTAATATAGGAAACGGTTTCCTTAAAATTTAAATATTCATTTTACTTGTAAACATTTTTAAAATAGGAATCGGTTTCCTTAAAATTATACTATTCAATATTCATTTTACTTGTAAACATTTTTAAATTAGGAATAGGTTTTCTTAAAATTATATCCGATATTCCTTTTACTTGTAATCATTTTTAAAATAGGAATAGGTTTCCTTAAAGTTATATTCAATTCATTTTACTTGTAAACATTCTTAAAATAGGAATAGGTTTCTTTAAAAATTATATTCAATATTCTTTCACTTGTAACGGAAGAAATATCTTATTCTAATTAATGTAGACATTGGGGAGTTACGATATTCCATAACATATATACTAGTAAACAATATTAAATATATGATTTTTGTCCGTTTTTCCACCTTCACAAAATATAAGTAATTTCGCATCATACATGTATTGTGTTTTTAATATATTAATTTTATATTATTATAATTTAATTATTATCTTACATTATGTTTGGATTATTGTTACCATCGTTTTATAATTTGTATTGTATTGTACTGTATCATTTTATGGATACTACGTTTGGATAGATTGTATCATTTGATGTTCTTAAATAACATTTTTGTTGTTTGGTTTAACTGTATCGTACTGTACTGTAACTGATAAGTTTACTAAAATACCCTCAATTATTTTAAATAAAATTTATCAAGATTATTATAAAAATAATTTAAGAAAACCTCTTTCTACTAATTTATCACCAATTATCATCTTGGAAACAAGAGCAAAAACTTATAGAAAAAAGTTTACTATCATTAGCAAAAAAAAAAAAATCTAAAACGATGGAAAGAGATAAAGAAACGAACAGAAATTTGGATGAAAAGAACGACAACAAACCAACTCTAGAAAAGATGGACGTAGACAAAGTAGGTCAATAAGTTAGAGATTTGGAGTTTAAAAACAGTTAAAAAAAAATAAAGAATAAAATAGAATTATGGAGTAATAAGGACATAACTGAAAAAGAAAATAGGAAACAATCACACCACACCGAATCGGTTATTTTAGAAAATGGGGCTTTTGATTGTTTTGGAACAATGAATTTAACAATACGATACAATCAATTTTATACAAACATTGTTTTGGGATAACAATGCAATACAATACAATAGCTAACAATCATCCAAACAAGCTGTTAACATATGGAGTACAAATTTTTTTAAGTTAATTGCTAATTTAGATAGTACCTGAGCCTAAATGATGAGTTTTACTTATAGAGTATTCATTCCATTTTATACGATGGAGTTTGCAGTGTGAGCGTCCATCCATTAATTTTTCTTAATGAATTTGAATACCGATTCTTTGTTATTCTTAAAATAAAAATGATACATCAAAAACTACATTACAATACTATAAATTATAATAATTCATAATTCAAAATATAACAAAAAATATTTGGTTAAGTGTGATTAGAGAAAAACCCTTATGATTAATGTTATGAACAGAGGCGGCTCAACACTACGTGTGGCCTAAAGCGAAAATTTAAATGAACCCATTTTGCAATTAAGAAAAATAAGAAGAAACCCTAAGCAATAGTAAAAAATAAAACGTCGTAACAGCTCACCATTGTAAAACATCATAAACTACATTAAAATATATTCACAACGACCATATAAAATCATAGTCACCCGAAGAAGAAGAAGGAGGAGAAGGAGAAAGATGTATGAAGTTATTTAAAAAGTAGGTACAAGTTAAAGTGGGTATAGGTTAAATGGAAGACGCCCTAAATTTTTACATGAGATACATACATTACTCCAAATTAACCCTCTTTCAAGCCCATATAGCAGACTTAACCAAGATAAACTTCTCAATTAGCAGAAATGTAAATAGAACCCAAAGAACAATAAAAAGAGAGACAAAAACACGAGCACCTCTCGATGACAACTTAATATAATGTTTTTTAGTTCAGCTGACAAGTGTAACAAAAAGAATAATATTAATTTCGTGTGGTAGTACATACATAGCTCCAAATGAATTCCCTTTCAAGTTCAGATAGCTGAATTAACCAAAGACAAATCTCTCAACTCGCAGAAATGTAACAAAGTGGGAGCAAAAAAGAAAGGAAAAACAAAAAGATCAAAACAGGGAAATAGGTCCACCTGGACATTTCAACTAAACTAAATACAGATTATACAACATCATATTACAGAAGATGGCCCCAGTCCTCAAATGTACACAAGTATCTCCTCTCTATAAGACCTACTGTCCCATAAACTCACATCATGTGGAGGTGTCATAATTACGCGTTGCGTCCCATGAATGTGATATGCTCTTTTTCGATGTCATACTGATTTTTCCCACAAGACGAGCTTGAAAAAAATGCTGCTACCTAACACTTGAGCAACGAACCATACCATCACCCCAGCCTTATAATCCAACCCATTTCACCCATCTGAAGATTTTGCCAACTCTGAACGGCAACTCATAGTCTTTGGCTACAGCAGGCTCCCTTTTTGCTGTCTCGGGTTCAGACCAAACATACACGCCACGCTCTTGGCGACTGCCTGGTACAGTGTTGTCGAGGATCACAGCTACCAGGAATGCAATCACCATGTGAAGTGATAACAATGTATTCAAAAGGTAGTTAAGCTGCAAGAGAAATATTTTTGTGAGTCAGGACAGATTCAAGAGAACTTTAGTTTATATGATATGTTGAAGATACATACCCCTCCAAATTTGGTGCGGATTGGACCATGAGATGCCACGACATATGGTTGAAAATAACTCGGAACGGGCAAGTTGCTGTTTGGAGAGATGCCATACTGCTGGAAGTAGGCTGCTATAGAAAGAGATAGGAACAAAGACAAGCCAACTATGATAATGTTCCTTGAGCTTCCCGCTTCACTATAGCGCAAATTTGACAAGCCCAGGGCGGTAAGCATTGCCCACATAAAGCATAATAGGGCTGCAACCATGACATCCGGTATTGACGCAATAAAGCCTCCTACTTTACCTGTTTGCATGTCAGAAGAAAGGTGCATGGTTACCATTATGTTGCTATGACAAATAGGCGACTCAATATACCAGTATGTATCAATCACACCAGTACATGACTATTCAAGGGTAATAGTGAAATACATAGGATATCCGCAATTCCGATCTGCGATCTTTAAGACAAATAGCCCTATGATGGAATCTAATTATTTGTTGTTCTTTATAAATGTCACAGTAAATAGCTTTTGATAGTCAAGACTACTAATGAAACCTAAAGGGTAATCCAACCCTAACCAACAAAGCTGCTGCTGCTTCAGCATTCGTAATGACCTGAACAAACACTTGCCAAAAAGGATTTTTTTGATAAAAGTTGAGGATATTCTTATCTTTTGAATCTTCCTTTTTGGAAACCAAGAAATCCCCTGTGGCTTAGCTGGCCCAGCCCCTGTTGGTGTAAAGGTACGAGAATTAGGGGAATATGGACTACCCCCCACCCACACACTTAAACACCAAGCGTAGTTTCCACGGGTTTCGATGTTCGCCTACACAAATCCTGGCTATGTACTTCCATTACCATTAAACCAAACTGTTTGATTCTCGGGGGAGTATGGGTCTGCCCCGAATTTCTTTCGAATCTTCCTTATTATTGTTATAAACATAATTCTCTTCACAATTCTGTAAGATGTGCGTGTGTGTGTGTGGGAGGTGGGTGGGGGGGACCCCTCAGCAACTCATAGGACAATGAATCATGACAGAAGTGTTCAACTTGTTCTCCTTAGTTGACATAATCAGGTCGATCTAGATAATCAAGAAGAAAAAGAGAAGTACTCTTGACAATTCTAGTCCTCTCCCGCCATTTAAGAATTTAACTGAATACAAATTGCCCCTTCCAGCCTATCATAATGCCTCTGACCTTTGAAAATAAAGAAAACCTCCTCAAGGTTGACTAAAGTGAAATGGTTAGGTTTTTCAGAATTTCTAAACTGGTCGGAAGCCCCCCTCCCTCCCCCCAACTTTAATTTCTGTTCTTTCGTATTTTCTTCATCACATTCCTTTTGCATAATGACAAACAAACAGGGGTCGAAAATAATGCAGCCTAATTTCCCATTTTTGCTTTCAAAACTATCTTTTTCTTCTCGTATCTTTTTCCCAATTTTCTGTCACATATCCTGGTTGGGAAAGTTACTTTGGTCCAAGTGTGGTGTTCTCAGAGGGAGAAGTGAACATAGCACCAGTCGATTCTTATCTTTAGGGAACAGACTAACTGATTCGGTTTACTCCATAACCTTGACAAGGCTGTCGAAAGTTTAGGTGAGTTAAGTCCACAAACACAAAAAGTTAAGGGGGGGGGGGGATAGTGTTGCTATTTCCAAGCACTCAGAAATATATCAAGTAACAAGTAGAAGTTACTCTGGAAAATTCATCACCTTTTAATAGTGTTATGCTCATTCGGACATGACGTATGAGAGGGGCCTAGATGTATGAGATGCAAAAGTAACATCCAAACGTTTCTCAAATCGGCACAGATCATGAAACATATCTTAAACCATCCAGTATATATGTCCCATTTTCTCTTCATTATATGGTCCAAGAGAATCATCTCATTAACAAATTAATAAAGCAGTTGCTAATTGGCTATCTCGGCGATGAATTTTCTAATATGAAAATTGATATCTTATCTAAAAGAACAATATCATTGCATTCAAGAAGCCAATATAAAGTAGACTTTTTCAAAAAAGAACAAGAAATAGGAAAAAAAAAAAAAAAAAACTAGTCTAATCAGAATCCAAGGGTACTTGTGGGTTGTGGCCAGGAGGGAAAAGAAAAAAGCTTTATAAAAACTAAGGATATATAGACAAAATAGTCTATCTTCGTACTCAAAGAACAAACATCACAAAGTAGAACATAGAGATTGTGGAATCATGAAGGTTTACTGAAGGCTCCCCCCCCCCCCCCCTCCTCAAACACCCTCATCCAAGCACAAAATCAG